TACTTTAGGTCAGCTCCAAACCTGGATCTCTACCCCTAATCCCAGTGCTTTTTGGTCATTCTCTCTATTTCTGCCAAATAGTATGGAAGGGGTCACAAAGCATTGCTAATGGGGTACTTGACAAATTTTAAATATGATATGGGTCTCGAGTATAGTTTTTGGTCCTTCTGTCCTGCAAGATGTAGATCCAAATTACTACTTCGACTCTCACATTTGCAATTCCATCCCTACTTTCCTTATTCTCAGAAGACAAGCCTTACCGTTGTCTCCACTGAGATTAGTGTCACCCGCTTTGTCCCTTTGTTGCCTTCTTACTGGTGTAACAGCTCATACCACACCCTATTTTCCAAAATAGAATGTTGCCCTCTATTCATCATTCATCCTTCCTTTTCTTCCTGTCTCAGGACAAGAAATGGTAGGTTACCTTTTGAGGGTGGGGTGGGTATGCTTTCTGGGCTCTTGGCATCATGCCTCTTGGTCATTTGTACTCTTTTGTATCTTTAATGTCTCTCTTTTCACTAGCTTCTTTACCCTTCCACAAATTTGTATAAGTCTATCTTTTTTTAAAAACAACAAATAAAAAGAACAGAAGAACTTTCATTGATCCTGCTGTTGATTTAGACTATCTTCCATTAAAGCACTGGGCCAGCCCTTGTCATCCATCCATTTAGTTATCCAACTATCCATCCATCCAGTCTTGTAATCATTCATCTGTGTATCCATCCAACATTAACTGAGGGCTTACTGTGACATTATTTTGTGTATCAGATAATTGAGCCCCAGGGAATCAAGAGACCCAAACAAGGTCACACAACTTGGCTATCATGAAATGTATGTGAGTTTTGAACCCGGCTAGAGGGAGGGCAAGTGTTGATTTCCTAAATGCCACATCAAATGGATGATTTTTAGTTCTCATCTTACTTGATCTGTATAATCTTTGGCGTGAAGCATGAGTTGGAAAAAAAAGCTCTAGAGGGATTATGCATTTAAGACTTGAGATAGTAAATTTATATTTTAATTCTATGGTTGTCAGATTAAAACCTGTTTTATTCTACTGAGGTAAAGCCCACTAAGCTACTAGCATGTCCAAGGACTAATTTTAAAATCTAAATTTGTTTATGAGAACTTTGCTGTTTACATTGTCGGTTATGCACCAGGGAGAAGAATTCAAAGTGACACCAAATATGTGTGTGTTAAATAACACCATCTGCCCATTTGGATGTGTGCAGCTATTTAAAAATCCTGTGAGGTTCTGGCCCAAGCCTGTCACGTTTCGGGATAAGGGGCGAATTATTTTGCTAACCCCAAATTAGAAGACTTAGTTTGAGGTTTAAGAAGGCTTCAAGTCCTTCCCTACTTTCTTTTGCAAGTTGTTCCTTCAACAGGTATTAGAGTCTCTGCCCTAGGGTACTGGGGACATTCGTATAGTACAAAGAAAGACCATGATAGGTAAGAAGGCATCTGCTGCTGTGAAAAAGACAAGGCCTGAGAAGACTTCCCCCTTGCCCTCCAAAGAGCTGCATGAATAACCCGGTCTTTACTGAGACCTGTTAATCCTGCTTTAGAAATCCTGGATGGAAGCTCTGTCTCCTATGATCATGCAAATACCTCATTAATATGAATTATTTAGGATGAATTATCCAGTCCCACTTGATAGACTACTTCTGGATTGGTTTTGATAGCTGAGAAGGCAAAGGGACAGTAGTGTCGATGAAAGGCAGTAGGATATAAAGATTTGAAAAGGAAGATGATAGGCTACATCTTTCTTGTTTCAGTATGCAACAGAGTTACCAAAAGATGTCTTGTTGCAGAGCCCTGGGGAGATCTGGGACTTTAGGCTGAGCAGCTACTTAATTTGCTGTGTGACTTTGGTCATTCCTCATTCTTTAAATGGAGATTGTGCATGGTCCTTTAATGTCCCTTTTAGTACTGACATTGTGTGATTTCTTCTGCAGAAACTGAGAAATCTGGAGTCCCAAGGTGTGTGCACGTGTGTGTGTGTGTGTTGTGATGGGTATAGGCTATATCAGGAGGAAGCTGTGAGAGGCGTTGTGGTCTGTGGCATGGACTCGTGGTATCAGGGGCCACATGTGCATTTTATATAACCCTGGAGCACAGCTCTTGCCTGGTGTGGAGCACTTCCTGCATGTGACTGAGTGAATGAAGTCCTGGCAGGTGCCCAGCAGCATAATATATAGAAAGCAGAGCAAAAGCTTAGGGTAACAAAAGCTCTCCACCACAGTGATTGAGAGCCATTGCCAGTTCTGTGCCCAGTGTTCTTGGGTTGCTTGGAGCCTTCCTTCTCTTCTAATAAAGGCGAAGCCACAGATCTCTTAAGGGCTTTGTTGAGTGGTCAGAACTGAATGATGAGCAGTACCCTTTTTCACAATGATTTCTTGGGCTTTCAGCTGACAACTTAGTAACAGACAAGAAGATGCTGTTCTAGCCTGAATCATAGACTAGTGACAGCAGAGGGCATCAGTATGTCAGGTGTCCCGTGCAGGGAAGGTATGTACATTATCAATATAATAAATGGTAGCTTTGCTATTACTTTTGAGAACCAAACATGCAATGGGTACTGAACTGGGGATTTTACATGGGAATTGAAACTAGGTGTTTTACATGGGTGTGAAAATGGAGGACCCTTGAAGAAAAAGAATGAATATGATTTCTACTTTACAGTTGCAGAAACTGCTGTTCAAATAGGTGAAATAACTTGCCTGAGGTAACAGACTCCTTGGATTCATGGTTTGTCAACTTACCATTCTTAGCTTTGTTCCTTCAAGCAAGATCTCTTATTCCTAGCATTCCACATGTTATAGACTAGTTCTGTCCCTTCTTAGCTTTCATACATATTCTCTTCCATGTCTGCCCACTGAAGTTACTGGAATGACTTAACATGTAAAAATTTATATAGTCAGAGGGGTAACTTTTTGGAATTAAATTAGAGTTGTCATAGAATTGGAAACATTTGGTTTGATTGATGTCTCCTTTTAGTCATTTATAGATGTTCTTTTTGTCTTAAAAGGTGTTTTGTTTGTTTGATAGAGTGGAAAAGAGAAAACATTGATTTTTAAGTAATAGCCCAAAGTCCATTCCAGAGTAGGTAACAAAATCTTGTTTTTATGAAATACGTAATCATAAGCCATCAAAAAACCAAAAAAACAGGGGTGCCTGGGTGGCTTAGTGGGTTAAAGCCTCTGCCTTCAGCTCAGGTCATGATCTCAAGGTCCTGGGATTAAGCCCCGCATTGTGCTCTCTGCTCAGTGGAGAGCCTGCTCCCCCCTACCCCGCCTCTCTGCCTACTTGTAATCTCTGTCTGTCAAATAAATAAAATCTTAAAAAAAAAAACCCACAAAACAAAATATTGCCATTTTCAGTGACATGGATGGAACTAGAGGGTATTATGTTAAGCGAAATAAGTCAATCAGAGAAAGACAGTTATCATATGATCTCACTGATAATGTGGAATTTGAGGAACAAGGCAGGGGATCATAGGGGAAGAGAGGAAAAAAATGAAACACGACAAAAACAGAGAGGGAGACAAATCATAAGAGACCAAATCTCAAGAAACAAACTGAGAGTTGCTGGAGGGGAGGGAGTTCGGAGGGATGGGGTTGCCTGGGTGATGGGCATTGGGTTGGGTATGTGCTATGGTGAGCACTGTGAATTGTGTATGACTGCGTATGTCACAGACCTGCACCCGTGAAACAAATAATATATTATATGTTAATAAAAAAAAAAAGAGGGGCACCTGGGTGGCTCAGTGGGTTAAAGCCTCTGCCTTTGACTCAGATCATGATCCCAGGGTCCTGGGATTGAGCCTGCATCGGGCTCTCTGCTCATCAGGGAGCCTGCTTCCTCCTCTCTCTCTGCCTGCTTCTCTGCCTACTTGTGATCTTTGTCTGTCAAATAAATAAATAAAATCTTTAAAAAATACATTAAAAAAATAGGTAAGCATAAAGGTAATTAATTCTATGTTAGTACCACATTCTGTATTATATTATAAAAATATGGTATAGTTAATCCTATGAGACTCTGGGATATAGCTGATTCTTAAATTTCTTCTGTGTGATGATTTGTGGCTGCTTAAGGAACAAATCCCAAATAAGGCAAGGAAGAGAAGAAAGAATGTGGGAGAGAGCAGCTTTGAACAGTAGTGGGAAAGTGTTCCCTGGAGGGACCAAGGGGCCAGGGAAGTAGGCTTAGGGGAGGTAGCTTGTTTTCCCAGTGCTTAGAAGTCATGATTGCAGCCTAGTCATATGAGTGTTACTGCTTCTTTCCTTTTATTAATGAAAGTTACCTCTTTTCTCCTTTGCAAGGCATGGTATATAATAATTGGTAAGCTGGTGAACTAGGAAACCTTAATGGTGTTCAACAGATGCTTATGTTTATAAAGCACTTCTTAGCAGGTGGGACATTGCTAAGTCTCTCAGTAGTTGAGTACTATCCATACAAGAAATGGGATGCCTTCCATTCTTTCTGTAAAACCAGCTTTTCTCTAAGGAAATGCTTGTTTTTAAAATAAAAGTAAAATTTTGCTATCTTAAAATTTTTATGCAGGTATGGCTTTAATAGAATGTAAGGTGCCAAGACTTGGAATATTTCATAAGCCATACTTCTAAAACTTGCTTATTTGTAGGCATTTCTGGAGTTGTCTTTCTGCCATGGTGATTTTGTTAGAATAGTATGTAAATTTGGAGGAAAACGATACTGAGCAGTTCTTAACAGTGTTCTTTTATCCATGATTGTAGTTATGGATTTTCTTTGAAAACTAGCATCAAGTGGAGGAAACTAATTTGAGAATTTAAAATGTAATTGGTGTTCTAATTTTATTAAACTCTGTAATTTTTAGAATAAATTAAGCAGAATTTTTGGAGTAAAAATTAAGTATTTAAGGTGGATGTAATTAGTAAATGCAGTATATTTCTTGGGCATGTGTACAAAAATCATGAACAGTAACAAGGACCATAATCACTCTTACTGTCTTTCTATTCTAGATATTTGAATGGTGGTATTTTCGCAAGTATGGAACGTCATTCATTGAACAAGTCTCAGTAAGCCACTTGCGCCCCCTCCTGGGAGGGGTTGACAACAACTCCTCCAACAATTCTAACTCCAGCAATGGGGACTCAGATTCCAACAGGCAAAGTGTCTCAGGTACGGAAAGTCCTTCAGTTTGAACATGATTTACTTATTTTTACTAAATTATTATGACTATAAGACTGTAATAAGTTGTTATTTAAATATTAGTCTCTGGAGAAGAATGTTTATTTTCCCAAGGTGTTGACAGCTTCTACCAGGGAAATAGAATAGAAGCATCACAAGGAAAGGAAATATTTATTTTGTTTAATTTTATTTTCTCTCCGTTTTGGTTTAGCTAAGGATCATTTACTTAGGTCAGTATTTCTAGCCTGAGTCTCTGGCCTCCTTGTCCCTAGTTTCTCGAACTTTACTGAATGTTTCCATTCTCTTTCATGATAACAGCAGAACCTTCTGTTTAACTAGATGTAATCATGTCACCCCTTTGCTTAAAAACCTGCCTTGGTTTCCATTCCACTGAAGATAAAGCCCAGACTCCTTAGCATAGCATAAGGTACTTTCACCTTTCTTGCCAGCTATGGCTTCAGTCGCAGTCCTGTCCCTCTCCTTTTCATTTCTTAAACATGCCATGTTTTCTCATGGCCCTTTTTCTAGAAGTCGGTCTCCCTCTCTGGTGTGTTTGCCCGTTTTTCATAACCCAGCTCCAGTGTTACTTCATGGGAAGCCTTCTCTGATAGGCTGTACAATATCTCTCCACCTTTGTCGACTTGTAGCATTTTTATCTTTAGTAACATTTATCAAATCACACTGTGATGTTTCAGCTGCTTTATGGCAGTATTTCTAGCATTTTGCAGAATGTCTGCTCCATCATTGCAACTCAGTGAGTGAACAAATGAGTACATGCAAGGCCTGTAATTTCTCCATTCATAAAAGAAGAGGGAAGAATATGGTCTCTTAGCTTGGTCTCTTTATCAGGTCAGTAAACATTTCCTACGTCCCTAATATGAATACAGGTTCTTTTGAGTATTATGATTGAAAAAAAAAAAAGCCAAAGTTCTTGTCCTCATGGAACTCTCACATCTACTGAAGGAGACACAGCGGTGAGTGCTGTGATTACATGAGGGGAACATACAATACTATGGAGAACCAAGGAGGGGTTCCTGACCCAAACTGGGGGAAGAAGTTTGCTTCTTGAAGGGGAGGGCACTAGTTCTGGTACTTGAAGGATGAAGAGGAAGAAATTAAAGAGCTAGGTTAGATCTGGTTTTTTTTTTTTTCTTTCTCCTAGAGTAACTCAGTCTCAGTCTGCATTTCATAACCATCTCACCAGGTAATAAGCATCAAGAAGCATTGCACATACATTTTATTTCTGTTGTTGATCTGGTGCCCGTTCAGTAGACCCTTTGCCACCCATCTGAGAGTGGCAGGGGGCACCAGCAGGTACACATTTTTTTCATCCTAAAGGGTACGAGAGATGGCACCACTCAGGTAACAAATTGTCTGGGACTTTGAACTTACCCATTTTGTGGAAAAACAAACAAACAAACAAACAAACAAACAGAAAAAACAAAAAGAGAGTTGAACAACGTGAAACACTAACCACTATTCTAACAAATGTAGCACATTATTCTAAGGGCGGGGGGGTCTTCATCATTCAGTCATCATCACATAAGCCATGGTGGATAACTGCCCTCAGTTTGCATCTGCCGTGAAGACCTCTTGTCTGATTTGAGTTACTATAGTCTTTGAGTGCTATAAAACATCGTAGGAAGTTAACAGATTAGAAATGGAAAGCAGCCTTATTACTTCATTCTTCATTGTGAGTACATTTTTATTTTCATTAAAATTCTCTCTACACAATTTAAATTTCTTGATATCATTCCTTAATGCAATGAAGAGTTCTTCTTACTGTCACTATTATTTTGCTGTTTCTCTTTATGGTTAACTTGAAGTAAGCCTTATGTATTATATAAATCTTGATGCTATTCTTAGTGCTTTTATGGCAGTTTTAAAAGGGAGAACCTCAGCCCCTTATAAAAACATATTCAAAAATAATGATCATGGAAATTCCCAGTTTTATTTGTACCGAATTTTTACCCAAGACTGAGTTTTTGAATATTATTATAATTCGGTTCCACTAGTATTTGCTCTATGCATGCAGTTTTTCTGTTCATTTCCTATATAAGAGGTACAGCATTTACGATCTAGCATTTTATGATCTGATCTGATAAGAATGTTTGAATAGTTACATTTAGCGAAGGGGAAATTACCTTATCTAAGTATATTTAGGGCTCAGTCTGGCCTCTTCTTGACAGCTAGGTTTCTAAAATTTGGCTGACTTAGCTCAGCAGACATGTATTGAGTATGGTTTCAGTGGGACTAATACTATTTTCCACTTCTCTTTTCCTGTGGTAATTTTTATTTTTGAATAAGAAAAGTATTATTGAAGTATGTTGTCTTTTATCTTACTTTTAATCACTTTCTATTAAATAGTCTGGTTTCATCTAAGTAAAGGAAAAAGAAAGTCCAAAGCTGAGGGTAATTAATAGCACATTTTCTTAAAAAGACGAATTTGTTTAACAATTCCTATTCCCTTAATAATAATACAATGGCTGTTGCCTTAATAAATCTTTTGATTTTCTTTGAGAACGACAAGACAGTTCTTTGGTGAATCTTACATGAAATACAACATGGCTAAGAAATCCCATGGATATTGGCAGAGGCAGTTTAATTGCTTATTTGAGAAAAAATAATTGAAAAACTTAAAGAAAAACCCCCCTGAAATTATTAGTTATAAACCTTGATTTATCTGAAAGCCATAGTGTAGCTCTTAAGGAGTCATTTGTTTTGGTTGAAAGTTGAAAGACCTGACCTGCTGAAGAATGATTTGGGTGGGGTTATGGGGAGTGGGAGGACTACAAATTGGCCTGGGTGCAGACTCTTTTAAAAACTGTAGTAATCTTTATCTCTGGATCAGAGAAGAAATGTAGTTAACTATACAGCTTCTTAAGCTAGCCAAATTTTAGGTTTTTAGGTTAATATTTATTGGCTTAGGTTAATATTTATGAACATTTTACTTGTTTTGCTTTTTTTTGGGAGCTAACCCACCATTTTTCATCATAAACCCTGCTGATGTATTTGCCATGTCACTGTGTTTCTCACTGCCATTTCTTAATTAACTCAGCTTATGAGCTGATGGTGTGCTGGGATTTAAAACGTGGGCAACTTCTTCCTGTCTGAAGGGAGGGGGTTCTCAGGGACCAGTAACATTTTGAATCTGGGTTCATGGGAACATCTGTTTGATAATTTGCCCTGTTCTTGAGTAAGTTGCCATGAAGACAAGGGTTGGCAGCATTCACCTTCAAGATATTTGGGAAAAGTTCAGGGTGCTTTATCACATGAGAAGTATCCTTGCCAAAGTCAAGTTCAAATGCTCTGAGATGCCTTAGTGTTCTCTTGCAGAGAACTAGATCTTTAGACAAAATCTGGTTATAGTTATTTGCCTTTGTCTCAAATAATTTCATTTTAGTCTCATTTAATCTTAATATATATTATATATATTTACATAGTATATATGTGTACATATGTAAGAAGCAGGTACTGTTACTATCTCTGTTATATGGTTGAGGATAAGTTGTCTGTCCAAGGTCAGTCCAAGGTCACATGGCTGATAACCTAGGTAGTCTTACTTTGGAATCCAAAGTCTTAAGCCCCAACTAAAAAAATTAGCCAAGATCCTCTGTGAGGTCTGTAAACTCAATACTAATGTAATTACTAAACTGGTAAAATAAATAATTTCATAAAAAACCTGTACTACCATACATTATATTATTTCAGAAGTGATATTATCCAAACTTACTTAGAAACAGCTTAGTGGTGGAATTGCTGGTGGTCGAGACCCGAGAGCTCAGGCTCTGGGGTCAGACAGATGTGGCCCTAATCTTGGCCCTATCACTTGGTTGACCTTGGTTGAATCACTTACCTTCCTTGGTATCTTAATTTCCATACCCGGGAATAACAACAGTATCTACTTCACAGAGTACATTGAGGAATAAATGAGGTCATTCAGAAATAACAAGTCAGAGGACAATCATCAGGCAGTGTCCCCCAGATGTACTGACTTCTCTGTGAATATGCTGGGGAAGATGGCTCAGCTCCATGGAGATAGGGCTTTGGGTTCAGTGAGGTTTACTCATTAGCTCAGTGACTCACTTTTATGTCCAGGCCTTTCAGTGCTTGCATTTCAAATACATCGCTTGGCAGAATTGCAAATTGCTACATGTCCAGGAGCTTTGGAGTTGCTTTTTAATCATCTCAATTAGGGGAATTCAGTTGTCCTTGCCACATCTATGCATGTGTTGAAATGATTGTTTTAGCCAGTGCTTATTACATCTTTTAAAATCTTTTGCTACTAAAATTTATGTTCTAGTATAGATTTGATCTCCAGTTGAATTGTGAAAGTGCCTAAAACAGTTTTAGTCCCTGGTGAACATTTATTTAATAAACTTACTTCACAGTTTCCACAGTATTTGGTTGAGCTGATTGACTTAGGTCAGAAATAATCAGTGAGAAATGTATGAGAGATACGATAAAGATTTAACCATCTTAGCAATACTTGAAGAAAGTAGTACACGATCTTGAATAGAGCAGATCAATAAAAATGGTCTTGAAATTCATCATTTTTTATACCTATTCTCATTCTGTAGAATCTGAGGGAATAACATATTTGTTGAGTTGAAAGCTATCTATATGTTCCTTTGTGCCTTTACTACTAACTCTTTCAAAACAATTATTTCAAAGGTTATCAAAACAGCTAAAGCTTAACTACTTAAGAAAATGGATATTGTTACTCATAATGATTGTTTAAGAATAACTTGTGTGAGGGGCGCCTCGGTGGCTCAGTGGGTTAAAGCCTCTGCCTTCGGCTCAGGTCATGATCCCAGGGTCCTGGGATCGAGCCCCGCATCTGGCTCTCTGCTCCGCAGGGAGCCTGCTTCCTCCTCTCTCTCTCTGCCTGCCTCTCTGCCTATTTGTGATCTCTGTCTGTCAAATAAATAAAATCTTAAAAAAAAAAAAAAAGAACGTGTGAAATAGAGAATTGGGTATTCATTTTTGAG